ATAACTTACTTTATTTTTAGTAATACTATAAAAATAATAAAATTATTACTATTTATATACTTTTTTACTTATTACACTTTTTATAGCTACTTAATATAAGTTATTTTCTTTAAAAAATGTGTATAAGTGCTAAGCTAAAAACTTTATATATAACTAAATTACTTATATTATAAAAATAAAGTTTTTATTATACTTTAAAGTAGCTTATAATGCTATAATTACTTTTAGTAATATCTAAGAAAAGTTTTAAAGCGCTAGATTAGTTTTTTTTAACTTATAATAAGTTATAATAAGCCTTAATATAAAGTTATACACTTTATTACTACTACTACTACTACTTATATATAATAAGCTCTAGTAGTTGTAAACTTTAAGTAATACTTTAAAACTTAAGTTATAATTAATGCTTATAAAAATTAAAATTTAAGAGTATATAAATAGTTTACTAAATTTTTTAGTTAAAGTGTTTAAAAAGGTCTTTAAAAAAGTAGTAAGAATTATATATAAGCTAGTATTAGTATAATAAAAATTACTAAGCTTTAAGCAGCTAATAAAGCTACTACATAATATAAATTATATAAAAAATGTAAATTAAAGTAAAAAACCTTTAATAATTTAAAAAAGCTTATACTTAATAGCTTTAAAAAAGTTTAGAGCGCATAGTAATAAAAAAAAGTAAAAAAGCAAGTGTAAGCTAAAGTAAGTAAGCTATTCTAAAGGCGCTACAGGTAGTGTAATTAGACTAAACATAATACATAAATATGTAAGTAAGAAGTAGAAGTAGTATCTAAATAATATTCTAGGCTATACTGTACTATATAGTGCTAGAGCTGGTTGTTATAGGCTATAATAGAGTTTATTAGAGTGTGGTCTTAGCAAAAGTAATGTCACAGTTAACTTAGACACTTGGACATGCCTCGGACTCTCCCCGGAGAGCCCTCGGCCCGGCCTTGGGCACATGACGTCCCGTCACGTGCCCCAGCACATATATATATATCCTCTCACGAACCCCTGAGTCTCCTCAAGGATTCGTCTATCAATACTATCCTGTACCCCCTTCTGCGCTTTATGCTTCCTGCTTCACAGTGCTCTCACAAGTAAGCGACTTAGGTGTGTAAGCAACTCGCCTGTAAAGTACGTTATAACTTTAATAAAATAAACTTTATAAGAAGCTAAATATTTACTAATTATACTTATACTTAAAACTTTACTTTAAGCTTTAAATAACACTTTATAAACATACTAGGCTAGTTTACGCTAATATAGCCTAGATTATACTTAGCGTGTAAAAGATTAGCTATATTAGCTATAGCTACTAGCTAAGAGAAAAATCCTTACGCATATAGCTTAAGTATATGCTTAATAATTACCTATTTTTTTTATTATTACCTAGCTTTTATAAGTTAGCTGTAGAATTAGCTTATAGAAGTTATTTAGTATGTTAGTTATTTATTATCTTTTAAAAAACTTTGTATATAGCTATAGCGTATTATTTTAAAAGTGTTATGTTTTATTTAAAAGCCTAAAGTGTAAGCTATATTTAATATTCTTTTAGCGCATCTAAGTAGTGTTGTTAGAAATGCATTAGTGTAGAAAAGGTAGTTTAGTAGAGTTTTAGTAAAAGTAAGCAACTTAAGTGCGTAAGCAACTTTCTTATAATATACGTTACTTAATTATTTAACTAGCTTTTACTACTTTAATTACTTGTTTATATACTTAGTTCTTTTCCTAAGCTTCTAGATAGTAAACTTAGTAGTAAAGTATAAGTGTAATGATTCTTATAAATTGTTTCATCTTAGGTTGCTTAGAACCTATCTAAAGAGTCTCTGTATTAGCCCTAACTATAACTTAACTCTGTTCTCTATAGTTACCTTTATTCTTTTAAGTATTTATTTTCACCTTTTTTCTTAGCTAGCTTAGTAGTTTTCTAATATCCTTTTGTATAAGGCCTATAGGTGTTAATAGAATTCCTAGGTTATTAAGTCCCCACGCACTTCTATATGCCTCTAAGTAGATTCCTACCGCATTCAGATCTATTGTCTTGCCTGCCCTGTTGCAATAAGATTATAAAACACAGTAGACTAGTATTAACTTCTATACTAAATGTTAAGTAGAAGAGTAATTTAAATATAACGCTAGCAATAGTAACATGTAGTAGAAGTTAATATCAGAGTAATAAAGCGTATATTTATATGTAAAAGAGAGACAAATTGCTGCTTAACTAAGTAGGTAGTAGAAAAGCATTAAATAGACTAAGTTAAATAAAGAAACTAAGGCTAGAAATAAATAATTAAGTAATTCTAAGCTATTATATAGCATTGTTAATTATTAAATTTTAAGTTAAAGACTATAGAATTAGCACTAAGTGTAAGGCCGAGATGGTGCTTACGTGCGACGGGTATATATACTATTCTGTACGCAATAATTAACGTTGGTTGATTATTCGCACCTTTTTAGTTGTATTAGCGTAGTGGTACAGAGCTCCGTCCTTACACTAAGCTAACTACTACTTTTGTAAAAATCTATAACGTACTTTATAGGCAAGTTGCTTACACACCTAAGTTACTTACTTTTACTAAGACCTTACTACACTACTCTTTTTACACTAATGCATTCCTAATAACACTACTTAAATGTGTTAAAGAAACATTAAATATAGCTTACACTTTAAGCTTTTAAATAAAATATAATACTTTCTAAGGAACATGCTGCAGCTATTTACAGAGTCTTTTAAAAGATAATAAGTAACTAACACACTAAATAACCTTTCTAAGCTAATTATATAGCTAACTTATAAAAGCTAGATAATAATAAAAAGTAGGTAATTATTTAGCACATACTTAAGCTAGATGCGCAAGAATTTCCCCCTTAGCTAGTAGCTATAGCTAATATAGCTAATTCTTTACACGCTAAGCATAATATAGGCTATATTAGCATAAACTAGCTTAATATGTTTATTAAGTGTTACTTAAAGCTTAAAGTAAAGTTTAAGTATAAGTATAACTATAAAAAAGCTTTTTATAAAAATCTTATAGTAATTTAAAGCTAGTTTAACTTTATAAAAAATATTAAAGCTAAGTATAGTATTTAGAATAATAACATATATAACTTTAATAAAATAGAGTTTATAATAGGCTAAATATCTACTAGAGTAGTTGTTATAAGTTTAAAGAGATAAGAATAGCTAAAAGTAGTCTAGCTAGGCAACTAAGAGTAGACAACAGCTATTTAAAGCATTAATGCTATAAAGTAGGCTATTTTACTTTTTATTATTTTCTAAGGTAGCAACTACTTTTTAAACTAGTATAAAAAAAAATTTACTTTAGAATTAGGTTATTATAATCTCTAAGTGTAGCTAGACTACTAATTAGCTTAGTTTAGACTAGTTAAAGCACTTTAATGCGCATATAAAAAAGTGTACTATTAGCAGCTACTATTTACTAGCTATTAATAGCTATAAAAGCTATAACTTACTTTATTTTTAGTAATACTATAAAAATAATAAAATTATTACTATTTATATACTTTTTTACTTATTACAC